GAACAAAGTAGGTATGTAAGTACTGACCTGAAAAGATGCCCATGATTTTGAATTACTATAGGGACAGGAACAAGGTGTATAGTACAATCTTTTCCTTCTTTCTTTCTTTTTCCAAAATTAAAAAACATTATGAGCTTAAAACTCTGGTACAGGTTTATATGAGGTTTGGGGTATATGAGAAACAGACTGGACAGATAGTAATTGTTCCCTTGGAAAATGATACTGGAATGGAAAGTGGAAGGGAACAACAGACTTCCAGTTTTTCTTTTATGAGCATAGGTTCCTTTTGTAATTAAAAAAAAATGTTGCTTAAACCATACAGCTACAGTGGTTACTGCACATGCTCACTCACTCACACACACAAATGTATTCTATTCTTCTTTGAAAGAAAATGTCCATATTGAAATGTTACTCCAGGTAGATTAACAAATACATTGTGAAGTTAATTAAAGCAATGACAACCTATCAAATTAGACAAAGGGGGAATAAAAAGTTATTATTCCATGCTAAGGGGAAAAGACCCCAGATTCAAACATGTTCTATAAAGACCCTTTTTTAAAGATGTGAACAGGACAGAGACAAACAAAGATAATTGTGCAGATGAGGGAAACCGTCAGCATTCACACAGGACAAAAGCTTATGGAATCTGCAGAATCACAGTCATGGAGTTCATTATATAATAGCAGACAAAGAAAGTTACCACAAGGTCATGGTTGATGGCAGGAGTGGGGAGAGGGGACAGGGCCATGATTGGGATATGTACATAAAAGCAAGTTAAAAAGGGTTATAGGACTGGCTCTGGGGTTTTAATTACCTGGAAACATAATGGTTGGGATGTGACTCACAGACATACAACCCTGAGTCATAGTCACTAGGACCCCAACCTTTTACTTAAATTAAATAACATGCAATTGGCTATTTTCAGTAAATCATTAAGAACATTCCCACGTCAGTTCTCTAGTTCCTTGCGTGAGCAACACTGTGCATACTAGTTCATCAACCACACTCTTCCTGAGGACAAACTGCTTTTCCCCAGGCTTGCCCCAGACTAGTCTACGCATAGCTGCATTGCTGAACCCACAGGGCGTCTGAATTCATTTCAAGATTCCTGCTGTAGATCACAGCTTTCCACAAACCAAGTGCTTTAGAACTTAAACTCGAATGCAGTTCTGATATTGACTTTAATAATTAGGTAAATATAGGTGTAAGGCTGTCTTTCAAAGACACATCTTTTAGATTTCACTGAGCTGCTCCTGATGTGGCACTCTAGGATAAGTATAGGACTGTGAACCACAATGTCAGTAGTTCCTCAGAACTCTGTGCAAGGTCACAATGAGTCGGAACCAACTCGACATCACTTAACAACAACCACTACCCTAGAATTAAAAGAATTTACCTCCATTCCAAATTACTGCAGCAGATAATAACCAACCAAGTATTCCATATAGTTAAAATAAGAAAAATAAAGGAAGTAAAGAAAGAAAAAAAAGTTATTAAACTTTTTATTGTGAATTGAGGGAAGGTTTACAGACCCAATCATCAGTAGTGGTTACAAATCGGGCTGCAAACCGCAAGGTCAACAGTTCGAAACTACCAGTTGCTCCGCGGGAGAAAGAGGAGGCTTTCTGCTCCCGTAAAGATTTACAGCCTTGGAAACCCTGTACAGGGTCGCTATGGGTCAGAACCGACTCGACGGCACATAACAACAACAACAACATACTTTGTTTCATGACAATGATTGCAGTCACCTCCATGTACCATCAGTTAACAGCCTTTATTATCTCTAGGCAGCATCAATGGACTCAAGCGTGGCAACAGTAGTGAGGATGACCCAGGATCGGGCAGTGTTTCCTTCTGCTGTGCATTAGGTCGATATGAGTCAGTACCGAGTCGATGGCACCTAACAACAACAACAGTCTTTTTAAGGAGTCCTGGTGTGACGCTGTGGGTTAATGTGCCAGACTGCAAAGCCGTTTGAACTGCAAGGTCGGTGGTTCAAATTCACCAGCTGCTCCTCGGAAACACTATACCGGGTCGCTGTAGGTCAGAACTGTCTGGACAGCACTTAACAACAACAATAGGGTCGCTTTGCAGCAGCGGAACCAACTTGAGGGCACTGAACAACACCAACAACATTCTCTTTAAGGAGTCCTGGTGTGGCGGTTCAAGCTTACCAACTGCTCCTAGGAAACCCTATATAGGGTCGCTAAGGGTTAAAATCCACTCGAGGGCACTTAACAACAACGTTCTCCTTAAATCTTGCATTCCTCCTTGTTTCTCTTGTTACCTTTATCTTTGAAAAGATAAGAATGTTAATAAATACATAATAAAGAAAGGAAAAGATCACAGTTCTGGCCATCAATGTAAATCAGAATTAAATTTATTGTCTTTGTGCTAATTGGTCTACACTATGCAGAAAGTTCTTTTCAGGGCTTAGTCTTGTTTCAGACTTAAAAACCAGACAGAGTTCAGGCTAATTCTACTTTCTGCATGTTGTTGTTGATTTGTTGTTGAGTGCCGTCGAGTCGGTTCCGACCCATAGCGACCCTGTACAGGGTTTCCGAGGGTGTAAATCTTTACGGGAGTAGAACACCTCATCTTTCTCCTGCGGAGCAGTTGGTAGTTTCGAACTGCTGACCTTGCGGTTCGCAGCCCGATTCATAACCACTACGCTACCAGAGCAACAAACATATTGTTTATAAACTTCAAGGAAAGGAGGTGTTCGGTCTCTCAGACTGGCAATATCCCTTAGCTCTGGGGGAAATGAAAAAGGGGGAAGAGAACTCTGTAGTGCTGACAAGAGAGGATAATAGATCCTGGCAAAAGATTCCTAAGCCTCAGACATAGCTACAAGATAGCATAGAACCAAATAAACACACTCTACCCCACTGCTCCAATGCCTAGACACTGTCCCAAGAATCGGGGGAGGTGGTGAAGGAGTATCCAGAAAAATCAAAATTATCTCATTTACCAACACAGAAGACTGAGGGATTCAGTTAAAGATTGAATTAAGTTTTACAAGGTAAAGTGATCTTTTTTGCATATCTGAATTTTTGGACTGAGTTCTCCACTGGCTGTTCATAGCTTTCTCATTGGATTCTTCCACCATTCTACAATTCTCTTCATTTTATAGATGAGCAAAAGGCTTTTTAGGTTTCATTATTCCAAGGACACACAAGGTCAGCAGTTCAAACCCACCAGCTGCTCCTTGGAAACCCTAGACAGGGTCGCTATGACTGGATGGTACTTAACAACAGCATTGCTAGGACACAGACCTACTAAGCAGCATGAGTAGAACTCAAGTAGAACTTAGACTGAAGCCCATCCTAGCAACTCCTCTATGCAGCTTGAAATAGCTTTTGTCTTCCCACCACTTGCACCTTCAGTAGGTAGCATTTCCTCTTCTAGGAAGTGAATTGAGCAATCCCCCTTAAATTGAAGCAGCCCTTTTTAGACCACCCATAATACCCTGAACCCCTATATCCTAACAGTCTCTTCTCCAGGTCGATAATTGGCATACACTCAGAGGAATCTTGGGAGACAACACTGGTGATCTGCTCCTGAAAGATCACAGCCATTGAAACGCTTATGGAGCATTCTGCTCTGCACTCGTGCGGTTGCCATGAGTCAAAAATCCACTAGACTATGGTCTCTTTAGAGTGAGAATTAAGTATCTCCGGTGCCTGACACACAGTGTTGGTGGTGGTGGCAGTGTGCCGTGGAGTCAGCTCCGATTCTTAGCAACCATGTATTAGGGTTTCCGAAACTGTAAAATTTGACAGGATCAGAAAGCCTCATGTTTCTTCCACAAAGAGTATGGTGGACTCGAACTGCTCATCTTGCAGTTAGCAGCCCAGCATGTAACCCACTGAACTACCTTAGCTCTCTGACACATAGTTGTTGTTGTTGTTGTTATGTGCCGTGGAGTCGGTTCCGACTCATAGCGACCCTGTACAGGGTTTCCGAGGGTGTAAATCTTTACAGGAGTAGAAAGCCTCATCTTTCTCCCGCGGAGCGGCTGGTAGTTTCGAACCGCTGACCTTAAGGTTCACAGCCCGATTCGTAACCACTACGCCACCGACACATAGTAGGTGAAGGATATTGTTTATGTTTGATTGTTTCCCCTGGAAACTCTGAACTTCGTAACGTCAAATAGATCTGGTTTTATCCAACGGTGCCTAACAATGTCTGGCACATACCAGGTTTTCAAGAATACGTATGTTTGAATTACTGAATGAATAAATAACTCAGTAAGTAATTTTCTCTATTTACCGTGATCTTGAGTCACAGTCCAAAATTAAGCAGCTTCTTGACAACTTTTGACTTAAAATGATTTGTAACTTTAATATTAAAAAAATCATCATTATTTTTCCCATTTTCATCCTCAGACTCAGGATTTTAAGTATGATTTGATTCAGCCTTGCATACTAAAGCCTCCTACTGCAAACTGCTAGCGATCACTTTCAATCTCTCTTCGATGACTGCCAGAATGCTAGGAACCAGGGAGGCGAAGTGAACTGTTGGTTCGCTTCAATTTGAAAGCTTGCCTTTCCCTACGATAATATTGTAAAAGTTACATGTCCCTGGGTATGATCCTCTCTCGAAAAAAATCTGCTTAATGAGTGTACTGATTGCTTTACATATAGATGTTACTAAGACTAATTGAATTACAGATATGGATAATGGGAGAGTTAAAATATTATTTGCTAGGCAAGGATGTGTTACTTTTTTCAAATATATGACATATGCGCTCATTAGACAGACAAGGAAAACATATTACCAAAATACCTTCTAAGCGATTTGCTTGGTTGGATTTACACTCCCACTGACAAAGGAGCGAACCTAGAGCTATACAAACCGGGCGTTTGCCGGGAAAACACGCACCTCTCTGTGGGCGTGGTCACCAGAGCCTCCTCTCCAGATCCAGAGGCGGAGGGGCGGAGCGAGGAGGGGAGGGGGCGGGACCAGTCTTTTGGGGGCGGAACCACACGGGAGAGAGGCAGGCTGGGAAGCGGCGCCATATTGGCGTCGGCCGTGCTGTATTGTCATAAATAGAGCCGGTTTTTGGTGTTTTCACTATTCGGTTGGATGCCTTGGCCATAGTAAGTGAGAAAGTGAGGGAGCAGCGAGCTACAAGAGTGGAGGAAAGTGGACAGGGAGAGAAGGAGGGAGCAAGGACAGGACTCCAGAGCGAGAGACACTCGCCGGAGGAGGAGACGCAGGAAGCGATGAAAGAGATGTCTGCGTAAGTGGCGGGGGGCGGCGGTTGGGGGGTGAGGCGGACCGGAATAGGCTAGGGTCGTCGGCTCGGGGCCCGGTTTTGGTTCCCTGCCCCTAGCGCCCTGTCCGGAGCTCGCCTCGCTCATCTTCCCCGCTCCCGGCGCTGGCCGGCAAGGGCACCTCTCCTACAGCCATCCGGTAGCTCACCTGGCCACCCCTGCACTGACTTGAGTCTGTCCCCAGCTGTCCCGCCTCCGAGGACGCCCCCCGACGGGGATGCGGAGGGAGCGGGGCGCGTATGTTGTGGGGAGAAATTGCTCCCAGGTCTGTCTGAGTCGGTCTCTGGTTCTGTCTGCATTGGCGCAAATACCATCCCCCTACTTCCCCCTCCTCCCTGCCCGACCCACTGTCTGTCTCCTAGTCTACGGGAGGGAATGACCTCTCCCAGCCCAGGGAAGGAAGGCTGTGGTCTCGTCGACCTCTCCCTCCTCCCTCCTCCTCACCTTCTGTAATATCAACAATCCCTAATAACCTCTGTTCACACTCGGACTACAGAAACTGTTCCCGTGCTTGCCTCGATACTGTTGGAGCCTTTTACATTCGCTTTGTTAGAAAATATTTTAAAGCACACAGAAGAAACATGTTAAAAATCGAATAAGTATCATTCCCAAAATATAGCATCATATATAGAGTGTGAGTGTGTGTTTCATTTTTTTAAAAAGAAATCAAGCTTTCTAAATACTTCGGAAGGACTCCCCCACCTCTCCCACCCTTCTTCCTGTGGTCCCCCATTCATCTCCCTCCACTGGACCCACAATCCTGAATTCCCGAATCACGGTGTTTATTATTGATGCATGTCATCTCTTATTATTACTGTAAATTCATTATATACATATGCCCATCAGTAACTTTGATATTGTTTTACTTATTTTAAAACTTTATATAGAGAGCTAGTAGAACACTTGTCATGTTATTCTGCGTCTTTAGAGCTTTGTTAATGTTTTCAGTTCTAATGCAAATTAATTTATTTCTGTTCTTGTATAGCCACGCACCCTAATTTAGTACTTTCCTGAACGTTTAAGGTTTGTTTCTAAGCTTTTAACATTACAGTGTGGCCGTCAACATTCTTGTACATGTCTCCCTGTTCAAGTGTACACACGTGTTAGAATTTCTAGTGTTTATCTATAAGAGTAAACACTAAGTATGAAAGTGAAGGAAATATGTTGTTTACTTTTTTTTTTTTTCTTGTCTAGATGTGGGAAGATCAGAACTCTACACTGATCATTTTAGCATGAGATAGTAGTGCTGGTGGTGCAGTGGTTAAATCATTTGGCTGTTAACTGAAAGGTTTGAAGGTTCAAACCCACCAGCTGCTGCTCTTCAGGAAAAAGATGAGGCAACCCACTTTTTGTGAGTCAGAATGGACTCTACAGGAAACCCACTTTTTATGAGTCAGAATGGACTGTACAGTGGGGTTTTTTGGAGTTTAGGGATTTAGATGGCCACTTTTTTCAGCATATAGATAAGCAAGTCAGACCCAGAATAATCCATTTAATGCCAAAACTTATGTAGTTATGGTGGAAAGATCTTGGGTTTTGATTGATGTTGTTAAGTGACGTCTAGTCAATTCCAACCCAAAGCAATCCTGTATAGGGTTTCCGAGGAGCAGCTGGTAAGCTTGAACCACCAACCTTGCAGTTCACATGGCTTTGCAGTCTGGCACATTAACCCGCAGTATCACACCAGGACTCCATGATTTTGGTAGTTGTCTGTGAAACCGCATTTATTAAGTAATGACCTCACAGGGTTATTCAAAGTAAATAAATGATCATATACAAATAATCAGGCTTCCTTATCCGTTTTCCGTGTTCAACACACAAATAACAAAGCCCCTCTATGTCCCTTAAAAAGCCAAGTCTATTTAAAAAGTTATAATTTTGAAACTTAAGAATTTTACTTCATAACACCAGAGAAAAAGTCATTTCTTTTGATGTTTCACTTTTGTTTCTTTGAGTGATGCTGTACTATTTTATCTTCCATTTGTTTTTTCTTCCTTACCTAATGAAGTCTTTAGCTAAAGAACTTGCCTTAGGGAGTGAAGTTCAAGATAAATTAGTGGTGGTGGTGGTGTTTATGTGCCGTAGAGTAGGTTCAGACTCATAGCGACCCTGCTCGGTTAAATTTCAAAAACAATTGAACAGTCCTTGTGCTTTTTGTGCTACTGATTACAAAACTATAGCTAGGTTATAGGATTGGTTAGTAAGCGTGTTTTACTTTATTAGTGAAATAAGTTTTACCCACCCACATTGGTCCTGAAGTTTTGAAATTATTGATCTGTGAATACCCAGAGTCTGGTAAATTCTGTTGCACTGTATTCACGACATTAATCTAATGATGGTTAGGCATGTACAGGGTCGCTATGAGTCGGAACCAACTCCATGGCACATAACAACAACAACAAAAGGACCGTTGTCAAGTGGCTTGTATTTATTGTATTCTGGTGTGGTGCTACAGGTTAATGTGCTGGACTGCAAAGTTGGTTTGAGCCTTAAGGTCTGAGGTTCAAGCTCACCAACTGCTCCTTGGAAACCCTATACAGGTTTGCTATGGGTGGAAACCCACTCAACAGCACTTAACAACAATAATATAAAAGGTTATCATCTGGTATAAAGAATTTACTGATTATTGTGGAAATTTTACATATGGCCTGCTTCTAATGAAGAGAACAATTAGCCAGAGTCTATCAAAATGTTAGGACTATAAATTATAGTTTCAGCCAAAGGAGGTTAATATAAATTTCTCAAGGTCCAATCTAGTTATGGTTTCTTTTTTTAAAGCCAGAGTATTTCACAAGGACCTTTTAATGGGATGCTTTTGTTTCTTTTCCTGGTGTGGGGGACGGGGACATTGTTTTTACTTAAGAGCATTCTTTCAAGTGGTTGACTTACTTTTCAAAGATTCTAGAATCTAGGTGGTACTTAAGTCTCCAGGGTATAGTAGAGGTGGCCCTGGCCCAGCTCCCACTCAGGCTCTTTGGATTTCAGCTGAGTGTTGGTGCACAGTTGTCCTGATGCCAGTACATGCTGCTTTTGGCTTGAAAATTGACAATCATGAAAGCTGGAGTCAATGTCAGTTGTCCTTCATAAACACAAAATACCAGGTTTTTTCCTTTTTTAAAGTAGCTAAATTAGCATGCAATAGATGAATTCAGTGTGTCTGTATGATACTTTAAATTTTTTCTGCTGTTTTTCTTGAACAGGAACACTGTGCTGGAAAGCCAGCGTCAACAAAAGCATTATGGGATTACTTCTCCAATTAGTTTGGCATGTCCTAAAGAAATTGATCATATTTACACACAGAAATTAATTGATGCCATGAAACCATTCGGAGTATTTGAAGATGAGGAAGAATTGAACCACAGGTATGTCATTTAGAATTGTAGAATACTGCACACACATTATTTGATCATTAATTTTACTCACATACTGAGTACCTACTATGTACCTGTTAGATGCTAAGCATACAGTAGAAATGACAATAAAGAACATAATATTGGCCCTTATGGAACTTACGTTTTCATTTGGGGTTGAAGAAATAGACCAACAATAATCCTAGCAATAAGTTTTTAAATAAAATAAGGTGTTTCAGTGATAATGGAGAATATTAAAGCCGGGATGGGAGTTGTCAGAGAAGGCCTCTTTGCGTAAGTGACATTTGAGGGGAGATTAAAAGTTGAGAGAGCGCAGCGTGGATATTTGAGAGAAGAGCAATCTGGACATGGCATGAGTGAGTGTATGTATTCTTTAACATGAGGAATATACAGCCAGGTAACCTGGATGTCTGGAACAGAGTACATGTGAGGGGAAGAAGGAGCTTGCACGTCAAGGTCACTTAGAACCTTGTTAGGCATTATATAGGCTCTGGCTTTTACTCTGAGTGAAATGAGAAACCATTAAATTGTTGTAAGCAGAGAGAATTGATGTGATCTGACTCACGTTTTAACAGGGTTACCCTGGCTGGTGTTAAGAATAGTCCAGAGAAGGTTGTGAGGGCAGAAATAGGGAGACCAGTTAGGAGTTTGTAGTTATAATAACCCAGGGAGTGAGTGATGGTAGCTGCACAGGAGGATTGGCAGTGGAGGTAATTAAAAATAGTGGGATTGTAGATATATTTTAAAGGTAGAGTTGCTGGATTCTGATGACTGGAATTTGAGAGCGGCGTAGGGTTTTGAGGTTTTATTGTTTTGTTTTGTGGACTTGGATATGCCATTAGCTGTACGTTGTTTGTGACCAAACTACTTTGTTTTAAAAAATTTGGTGATAATTTACTCATTTTAATTAACCAAACACCTATGACCGGTAATAAGAGAATGCTAACCTCATAAGGAGCTCTGGTAGTGTAGTGGTTACAAATCGGGCTGTGAACCTTAAGGTCAGCAGTTCAAAACTACCAGCTGTTCCACAGGAGAAAAATGAGGCTTTCTGCTCCCGTAAAGATTTACAGCTTCGGAAACCTTGTACAGGATTGCTGTGAGTCAGAACCAACTCCACGGCACGTAACCACCAACAACAACCTATTACCATGCTGAATTGATTTAATCCCATAATAAGGCCTAGAAAGTTTGAGAGTTCTCCTGGCCTCTGCAGCCTCATTGAAGGTAATTTTATGGCTTTTATTAGGTTTTTAAATTTTTGAAGATAGCTCAAAAACTCCCAAATACACTTAGAATCTCTTTGGCACTCTTGTGTACTGTACATCAATAGGTAAGATGCATGTAAAGATGCTTCTGCCCTAGGACCAACATAGGGACTGCATAGATGCATGATATTTTTTTGTAATACAGTTTGTTTAAGTTTTAATCATACGCTTTTTTTTTTTTTTTTAAATAGGCTGGTGATTCTTGGTAAACTGAACAATTTAGTGAAAGAGTGGATTTCCAGTGTCAGTGAGAGTAAGGTAAGATGGTACAATACAATGGAATTCTTAGGCTCATTCAGTCCTAGTACCGCAGTGTGGGCTACACAATTGGCTGCTAACCACAAAGTCAGCAGTTTGATTCTACCAGCTGCTTTGCAAGAGAAAGGTGAGGCTTTCTGCACCTCTAAAGATGTACAGCCTCTGAAACCCTATACAGGGTCTGTGTGAGTTGAAGCCAACTCTACGGCACATCACTACCACCACCAATAAAACTGAGGTCTTGAGAATAATCTGAAATACATTAAAACTTGGCTCTCTGGTGCATTTGGGAATGAATTGTTCTAGACAGTTGGGTTTTCAAATAGATGAGGATTTACCCCAGAAGGTAGCTAATGTCTGACTGCATATCCATGTATGTGTTTTGTTTGAGCCACATGAGTTGGGCCAAATTTAAATAACAGGTAATTTTACTGAAAAAAATAAATAAATAAAAGATTTCAGACATCTTGTGAAATACCAGATTTGGAGGCACTGGGCCAGTTTTTATGCAAGGCAGGAAGAGTCCTGAATGGGATTGGTCCCTCCAGTGCCTTACACCCCTTCCTTGTTTTTTCTGACATAGCAGACTGCTGTTGATCAGTTTCTGTATTTTTTTTTTTAATGTTCTTCTGCCTGGCCTCGGAAACAGACGTTTGCAAACCCTGATTTGTACTTAAACAACCCTTTCCCCCCTTCTGATAGCTTAACTATTAATTCTCTAAAGTTGATTTCATTTTTCTTGCACTTATAAGAGTATTTTGAATTTTCATTGTTGGTTCTGAATCTAAACTTAAATATTGTTTTACATTGGCTGTACTTGAGTGAGGTAGAGCTAGTTCATCAGGGTGATACTGTTTGCTTTTTCACTAAGTCGCCCCAACTATTGTATTTGAAGTTTTTATTTGTTTTTACTAGTTTCCCCATCTTTCGTAGCAGCACAAAGTTGGAAGTTAACAGGTCACAGCTGTCAGTGTGTCTTATCTATAATAGTCTCCCCCACACCCCTTAAACTGCATAAGTTTGGAAGTTACATAAACATCTGTTAGAATTCTTTCTTGTATGATTTTGTTTTTTCTGTAGCTGTGATACAACAAAGGGAACTTAAGAAGTTCATGGAAAAATAGAATTTAAAGACAGTGTAATTTTTCCACAAACATTTTGAAGCTTCCTTTTATTTGTAATTGTGCATTTAAGTAATGGACTCTGAATAAGATTATAGGGGACTCTCCTAAGACTACTGCCATTGAGCATGAGTAACTGTGTCCTTATGCAGTTTCACTGCGAAAAGGCTTCCTGGCTATTTCTGAACTTTCCAGCAGGGGTATTGACAGTGAGGTTGTTGGACAAGCTGAATTTTGAGCTATGAAATGGTGTTCTGTTAAGCTGGTTCCCACTCATAGCAACCCTGTGTAGGGTTTCTGGGCAACAGCTGGTGGGTTTGAACCGCTGACTATGCAGTTAGCAGTTCAGTGTTTATCCTACAGCGCCACACCAAGACTGCATGAAGTAGTGCTAGTCGTGATTTATTTTAAAATTAAGCTGATTTTAACGTTTCATTGACTGGATTAGGTGACTGTTCATTTTCTGACTGTTAAATAAGTTGTCTATATTTTAGTTTAGAAAATAACAGTGAAACCTGGGAGAGCTAGGATTCGACAAGACTCATTTCTTGCATTACCACTTTTCTTTTTAGAGGAAAATATTTCCATCTTCCATCTTCTGACAGGTTTCCACATTACACATAGGTACTGGATTTTATAGGTTTTACTGTAACTGAAGGATTTCAGTTATATCAAAGGTCATTTGAATACACATAGTTGGAATATTTAAACTTTAAATAGTCTAGAATTCCAAATGAAATTATTTTAGTTAAATTCTTTGCTTTGTGGTTAATAGTATTTTGCCCTGTGATTTAGCATGTCATTTCCTCATCAATTATGCAAGAATTGTGCTTTTCAAAGTAGGAAGGTAAATGGTAAACTAAAAGGTATTTTAAGGTCTTGACTTTAAAGTCTTTCTGATTCATATTAGGTTATCAATAAATTTACTGACTCCCGTATAGCTTTAGAGCTTTGGTGGTGTAGTAGGTTATGAGTTGGACTGGTAACCACAAGGTCAGCTGTTCAAATCTACCAGCCACTCCACAGGAGAAAGATGAGTCTTTTGCTCCCTTAAGGATTTAGTCTCAGAAACACGCAATGCAGGGTCACTGTGAGTCAGAACTGACTTGATACAAGCACAAACCACCACCAGCATCACCACCATCCAGCTATAAAATGACTTATATACTCTTGAAGCATTGTTGTTGTTGTTGTTAAGTGCCGTCGAGTCGGTTCCGACCCATAGCAACCCTGTACAGGGTTTCCGAGGGTGTAAATCCTTACAGGAGTAGAAAGCCTCATCTTTCTCCCGCAGAGCGGCTGGTAGTTTCGAACCGCTGACCTTAAGGTTCGCAGCCCGATTCG